TTGTTAACGAAGTTGTGGTGCTTAGAGTGAGTTGATTTGTGTGAGATCATTTTACAGGGACTTGTGTCTATATCAATGAGGATTTATTTGATTCGTAAGGTGAGTTCGGTGCTCTTTTGAGGATGTTTTTTGGAGACTTGCTTTAGTTTTTGGAGACCTAGATGTGGTTGACTCTTAGGAGAAGTTTTGGGGGATCGCTGTTGGATATGGCTTGTTTGCAGAGTTTTCTCGTCCTAGTTATGGCTAGGCATAGTTTTGAGGAATCATAGTTCCAGTGACTGTTTATGGACTGAAATTAAGGAATTTTGATTTAGCTTGGTGATGCCAAACACTGTTTTGAGAGACTTATTTTGTGACTTTGGTTGTCAGGATTTTGATGTGTGTGCCACGTGGTGAACTAATTTTTTAAGGATTTAGTTATCTGTGATAGGGATTTTGATCCGATGTTTGATTCTGGTGTGCTTTTGTAGTTGATCTATTTCAGAGAGATATGTGGGACTTTCAATGAAATGTCTTGTAGTGAGGTTCGTTTTGATTCCTAGTGGTGTTGATTTGTCTATCAGGCTTTGGATTCTTGATTGATGTTGTTAATAAGAGTGTTTTGAGACGTTAGAATTGTTGGTTTTGTTATATTGAGGATTGAAACCATAAGCCGGAAGGTACCTGTAGCATAGTCATTAGGTTTTTGAGAGTGGCCGGGATGTCGACGTCTTTGAACCATGTCTCAACTTTTACGGAATGCCGAGTTACTGGATTGCTTTTGGTAATGATGATTCACGACATTGATGTCATTTGTATCGAGAGGTTTCATGGGTAAACCTAGTAGGAGCAAGCTATAGACTAGTGCCTTATACTGTCATGCTACTGTATAAGTTGTGTGTTGTGGGTGGGTGCTAGTTACCGTCGATGCTACCTTACTGATGAGTAAGTGTGGGCGAGCGCTAGGTACTGTCATTGCTACTACACATTTGAGTACGTCATGGGCGAGTTCTGGTCGCTATTCGTACTGCCACATTGTCTTTGTTCTGTACCCTGATTTGATACGTGGTTATCTTAGAGTTCTTTTGGTGGTTATTTTTTTGATCGGTATGATGGTTCATTAGGAGGAATGCTTACGGTTGTTGCCTTCCATTCCTTTGTCTGACCTTGGGTTCTGTATATGACCTTTAACTTGTCATGTGGCCATGTGGTCACTTTTCTTTTGAGGGGTTGTCCTGTCGTGAGCATATGGGTGCGAATGACATTGGTTTGTGCATTGTCTTTCAGTTTGGGATTACTTTCGTAGCATGTTGTGTGGGATACTCGGAGATGTACTCCGTAGTTGTCTTGGTTTCACCTTTTGTTTGTTGGGGTTGGATTTCGGGGATGAAATCCCTTTAAGGTGGGAAGGTTGTAATAACCCGGTCATTTTCTTCCTTTCCTTTTCCTCAAATTTTGCGGATAATTTTTTTCCGTTGTCTTTTCTCTTCTATGTTTGGTTTTTATCACTTAATGTCGTCTCGAGTGCTCAGAAATGGATTCTGAGACTCTTTTCTTTGGATTGACAACTTCCCTTGAGGAACTAGGCTTAATATTAAGTCTTGGAAGTTTACTTAGATTCATGACAAGTGTAGGCTTCATAATTGATATTGCATTAGTGTGTGTGAGAGAGGTAGTGCAAGAGCACCTAGTGAGTGGAAAATCCCACCACATTTAGCTTAGGGTTGCATTTTAATTCATTCATCTCTTTCCTCTCAAAAACCCTAACTTAGCCACCATTGGAGCAAAGCTTGACTTAAAGCTTTGACTTCATTTTTCGCCTCCTTCCACTCACCAAAAACTATTAAGCTTGGAATACTTTAGTTTCCTTCCACTCTCCTCTACAAAACCCTTGTTTGGCTTTTCATTTTTAAGCTTGGTTGCCTTGGATTATAAAAATTCAATTCTCTATTGAAGTAGGGGGTGTTATAATTTATTTTCCAAGTGATTTAATTGTTCTTGTAATGATACACAAGTTGTATGCATATCCTATGTTAATTTAAGAAATAAATGACTAATGGTAACTTGCATATAATTCACTTTAGACTTGATATATGGGATATCCATGAGTTACTCCTTGTTATATATTAAATTGGAATCATTTGGACAACTCTTGAAATCTAGAGAAATTACTTAATTAGTTTAATTAATTTCTATCTTATTGTTCTAATGATTTAGTCATTCAATTCATAGAACTTATTGTGTTTTATCACATATCATGACTTGTTGCTCAACTTGTTGATTTTGGAAACTTGGGATATTATCAAGAACTTGACTTGGCTAAGACTTGATTCTAGTACGGGAGATAGAGAGCTCCCTACACTATAGTGCGCACTAGGGGAAGGTACCCATGGGTTAATAGCCTTAAAGTGATCCCAAGAGTACGGTTTTAATCCGGGCAATATTCAAGTATCCACTTTGGTTTGATTTCACATTTAAATTCCAAGTTGTTAACTTTGTGAATTTGCATCTCATTATGCTATGTTGAAAGTTTTAATGTCACTTTAATAGCATGGATTGAATTATATTAAATTATAAACTTGTAATAAGTTAAACTTATGCATGCTCATTCCCTACGAGTAAACTTGTTTACTCACCCTGAAGTTACCGGGTGTTTTTCAGGTAAAGAAGCAATATTGTGGGATGCTCAACAATCTTAGACTTGCTAGACTACTTGGAGTATTTTTGCTACGTTAGAATATGCACTTGTTAGCATATCACACTTCATTTTGCTTATTACGACAAAATATGTATTTATTGTTCAAACCATGTAATGTGCACTTAAGTGCACCTTTTGATACTCTTTGGATGTGTGTGTAATGAGGCCAAGGACCAAGTATGTTTAACTAAGCACTTGTATTCATTTGGCATCAAATTTCCCTTCAAAAATGTACTTTAACCAACCTTGGAAGTTTAGCCTATGAAATTCTTGTAATTAACATGTATGAGGCCATGAGCCATTGATTTACATTCAATAATGCGTATTAAGCTTGTTGACATGTTCACGCACTCAAATCCCATTAAAAATCAGTTTTAAACTTTCATTTTTGAACCAATCCATGAGGGAAATTGAAGAATGGGTTGAACCTTAACACATTTGGCATATAGCAGGTCTTTTAGTAGCTTTTCGAGGTGTTTCGGTTGACCGAAACACAAAATCGGTCGACCGATGGCTTTTGGGAATTCAATTGCATAGTAAATCATCCATTCCAGTAGCCTTTTTCACTATTCAGGGTCATTTCGGTCGACCGAAACTCAATTTCAGTCTATCGAAACCTCCTCCTTTCAAAAATACATGTTTTCAGCAAATTTATGTCCAGTTCGGTTGACCAAAACTCCAGTTCGGTCGACCGAAACAGCCCTCACACGCCAGTCTTCCAGATTATGTTTCAGCATTGAAGTTCCAACTTCAAGAGGTCATAACTCCTTCATTCCAAGCCCAAATGGGGTGATTCTTGAGCCTAAACTCATGAATTTTGAGTCAGCATTCCAATGGTACCAATTCCACTCTCAGATTCAAAACGTAATGGGAGTTATTCAGGTTTTAGTGAGGTAGTGTCAGTTTTTACTTGAACCGGGAAAGGGCATTATGTGGGATTTTTGTCTAAAATTCTTAGAACCTCTTGGAATGTTATGAAATAATTAGATTATGTTGTTTTTACCTTGTTTGACTTTTTTAGAGTCAATTTACTCCTTTTGATTGTGAATTGACCATTTTGCCCTTAATTAACGGTTTTTACTCGTTTTGACTCTCGTTTGTTCATTCATCTTTCCCTTAAGTTCCGTGAATTCATGGAAGGTCACATTAGTGCTTTAGGGATGACTTCTATCTCTAGAGACTGTAGTTTATCATTCGCTTCTGTATTTAGGATCCGTTACTGGGCTGACTTTCAGGTCATCACTGACGTACCGGGTTGAATAAAACTCAGGTCACGATATTTTATATATAGGAAACAATCTTTTGCCTAGAGACCAATCTCACTGGTAGTTTAAGTTATCATTAATCCTAATATTGATTATTGAACTCTATTAGACTGTGAATACGAATACATAAATTCTATATATAAGGTAATGTGCACAAAACACCCCTATAGTATGAGATTAGTAGTATATATACCCCCTTGGGCATTTTCGGAAGAGTAAAAGGGCAAAATAGGTATTACAACACTAATTTGTGTCAGATTTCTGACACAAAGATTAGGGATGTTTATTGCACACTTTTTCAAATAGGGAATAAAAGTACTATGAAAAGTATACTTCAAGAGTGTTTTCTGACACTCTAGTTACTTCAAAGGCACATTGATTAATGTATTTTCATTCAAAGTTTTAATCTTTACACATTAAAATAAATTTGTGACATCAAAGAGAACTCGATTAAGTTTAACTCAAAACTCTTAATAAATCTTTACACATTAGGTTTTGAACAATTTAAGGATTGGAGCTTTTCTAAGATAATTGATGAGAAAAATTGTGAAAAATAAATTACCAACCAAAAATTGAAAAGAATACGCAAGTTGTGACAACTATATTTTATACTTTTGATTGCAAGTCAAGAAATTTACGTAACTTGTTGTTTTGCTTTTGAATTGTGAACTTATTTGTACAAATTCAAGAAAGAAGTATTTCAAAGGAACCCAAAAAAAATGAAACAAACCAATACAACAATTTATGATGTGGTTTATAAAATAGCACACTATTTCATATTTAAATCCAATATTTAAATCCTTGTTACACTTTTGCTAGTAAGATTCAAACACTCGGAACTCTTATTTTAAATTAGAGAGCTCATAATATTTGGACTAATGTGCATTAGTGTTTTAATTCAAATGTTACCGAGTGTGTCAAACGAGAAATTTGAACAAATCTGTTGATAAGGGACCCTGTTGGCTAAAAGATGACAACAGAAATGAGTGGTTGATACTCCGTAATAGATAGAAGTTGAGAAAGGAGGGCCCAATTGCTAGCTATATATACATTATTGTGGAGTGGTTATTGATACCAAAATTTGAAGCAAGATTTGCCATGGCATGGGTTAGTACCACTACCACAACAAATAGTGGTGTAATAGTATTAGTAAATAACAAGTCTGGATTAGCCTCTGCTCCTGATTGTTGTAACAGTAGACCCATTACCAAACAACACTCCAACATATCTTTAATTTCTTCTTCTTCGCGGGTGACAACGAGAAGAAGAGTGTTGATTAGGGCAAGGCTGTCATCCAAAGGAGGACTAGTAATCAGAGCGGCAAAAAACATGAGCACTACCGAGGAGAAATTGGGAATCAAGATCCAAAAAAACCCTCCCGAATCCAAGCTTACCGAGCTCGGCATCAGAAAATGGCCCAAGTTAGTATCTATTTCTCTCTCTCTCTCTCTCTCTCTCTCTCTCTCTCTCTCTCGCTATATATATATATATATATATATAAGGTTGGTTGATTCTTGTGCATTTTGGGATTGATTCAATGTAGTGAGTGATGTTTATCTTGATTGCTCCAAGGGCATCTTAACTTAGAAGAGTTGTAGGTCTATGCTTCGTTTAATAAAAACATTTAACCATGGGTGTCGTTTTCAGAATCAAATTAAATAGAAAATAGTTTTCAAATTATGAACAATAAAATGTTTTCATTTTTTTAATTTCAAATCTGGAAATAAATAAAATGAAAATGATGATTTTTTATTTTATTTTTATATATTTATTGTTTCACATGGTCATTTTCAGTTTTTAATCAATATGAATTTTTGTAAAGGATGGTAACCATTTATTATAAGGTTTTGAAACAATATGATTTACTCAAGATGGTATAAACCAGTAAAGGATCCTTGGCTTTCAAGTTGTTTCACTCCTTAGAGGGCAAGCATTTCTTGATATGCAGAAATGATTTCTGTTTTCAGCATATATATATATATATATATATATATATATATATATATAATAGAAATTTCTGCTCCTAGGAACTTGTTTTGAAGGGTAAATTTATTTCTAGGAACAATTTTGGTAACAAGTTTCTTAGCATTGTACCAGACATCTTTTCTGGATAAGTCGTTCATGAGTGAGAGGTCCACAACATTAACTAGGAGAAACTATTCAAATAATGTACAAAATACGAAAAGGAGTTGAGGCAGGCATTCACTTGGATCCAGCTGCAAGACTAGCTCATAAAAGCTTGATTCAACTTTTGATTCACCATCCCTGCATTGTCAAATTATTGAGAATCCCTCTACCTTTGGGTGCACATAGGGGTTTACTAGAGTTGATTCTCACTTTTTATGGATTTTTCAAATTTTTGAGCTTATTAAATTATACTTCACAAGAGGAAACTTAAGCGTAAAGTTTCAGGGTCATGAACTCTGTAGTGAGAACCAAATTGGACACTACTTACCATCATTAACAACTCCTTTTTCATTTAGAAATGGTCCACATATTTATTACCCTCGTTATATTTCTCTTCAAGTTAATATATGATGTTAGAATAGAAATGGTGATTTTGATTTACTTATCAAAAGCAAAAAATAAAAATAAAAACAGAAATGTTGCATCTTAATGTTTTTTTTCCCCTTCTAAATTATAAGTATGTCTAGAATATATTGGACATCCATCTACAAGTAAACTAGGAGTATTGTTATTTAACATGGATGCAAATCCTGTGTAGAAGACAAATGTATCAAAATATACAGCCTAGATGGCCTCACTATATGACTCCAATTCAGCTTCTTCAACATGATTTGCCCTCAGAACAATTAACTAGCTAAACACTTTTAAATAAATAGAAAATGTAGACTTCAAGTTTTGATAACAAATTTGTCAACGTCCTATATGTTAACAAGAACATCAATAGAAAACTTATGCTGCTTACGATAAGAGTTGTGGTAGGAAAAAAATATGGAAGCATGGTTTTGGGTTTAAAAATATATGAAAATTCGAAGATCTAGGATTTTAAAAATTGAAAGAAAGGGTGTCGGGTTGTAGATGAAAGAGGGATTGGAAGTGGTTTTCTCCCTAGAATTGAACTCATGCTCTCACGCTTGACATTCCATGCATTTTACACTGCCCCCTAAATTTGCTGATAGTCTTATCGCCTCCTGGAGTTGAGTACAAGACTTTTCAGTTGTAACCAGAGGTTTTAATTAAACTGACAAAATTTGATCATAGAGAAGAAAAAAGCATAAATAAAACTAACGAGCACTTTTTAAAATTAAAAAATATATATATATATGATCCTATTGTACCCAAAACTTGATTATATAAAGCTTCATATACGATTCAGGAAAAAGAAAATAATATAAAAAAGGGCCCATATGAAATTCCCAATTTGCTACTTTTTATTCTCATGCTTTAAATTAACAGCAAGCAGTTGATATTTGCTACAACTATGTGCCGGATTTACTATGTTTATTCAACCTATGGAGTGCGCATGTACATGTAACAAAGTTGTTTATTTCTCACACAGCTTAGTTCTTTTTGACCAACGAAGTCGAGGACTGATGCTGCGGATGTCCTTATAACCCCCTTACTGCTTCAATTCATCGGCTGAGATTTTTATTTATATTTTCCCATAAGTGAATTCATACTCTGATATTTATTTTTTCCCCTAAGTGAATTCATTCTCGATATTTGTTGCTGCTTTTCTTTGCTTTTCTTTTTTTTTGTTTTTTCATTTGCCTTTTCTTTTGGGGTGTGTTTGAGTTGTTTCTGATGCTGCTGTTGTTTATTGATGTTTCCAAACTTCTGTATTACATTTATGGAAATCTTATTCACCTTGCATCTTTGAGGATTGAATATCATATAAATTAGTATTAGTTTGCTTTGTGTATTGATTGCTTCAACTCAGACAGGTTTTTCTTGCATCTGGAACCTCTGTACCGATCACGGTTAAAAAAAAAAAAAAAAAAAAAAAAATTGAAAAAGGAAAAGAAAACATTTAACAATGTCAGCTTTTGTATTTGGAAAGGAAAAGGCTCTTCTATGCTGATCATGGTCTTTAAAAGTAGTAGGTTAAGATAAATTTTTTATTTATTTATTTATTTTTTTGCAAGAAACTATCTACTTGACACCTTAAATGTCCTTGATTAGGTTCCATATCCACTTGTGAAGACTGTGACAGCATTTTATATAAGCACATCGATCATCTAGATTTTTTAAATGAAACATCATAATGGAATATATAGTAATATTCAGCTCCGCAAATGGATTTACCACCACTTACCTCAATGTCATCTTCTTTGTTGGTGGAACTGGCTCTTCCTTTTACGCTTTGTTGGACCAGTTAGGGAAAAATATTTGATTCCCAGTCTCCAACGTTTTCATATTTGACATTTTAGGAAAGATGTTTTTATGGTCTTGTCTTTGGGAGGAAGGAAATTGGAGAAACAGTATTTACTAGAATCGTAATGGGTAAGAAACTGTGACTGCAAATAATTATCAGATGCATTGTGATCACACATACACATACTGAAAAAGAAGGGAAACAGGTGCTGCCAGAGATGCACACACGATGAATCCATGCCTACATCTCAAATCGTGGATTCTTGGACTCGTTTTGTTCCTTTTCATGTAATTGCATATAGCCATGGTTGTGTTAACGTGTCTGATATTCTATTTTTGATGAATAGGTGGGGATGCCCTCCAAGCAAATTCCCATGGACGTACACTTCCAAAGAGACATGCTACCTGCTCGAGGGAAAAGTGAAGGTTTACCCTGATGGGTCTGATGAGGCTGTCGAGATCGGTGCTGGTGATCTCGTGGTGTTTCCAAAAGGAATGAGTTGCACTTGGGATGTTTCTGAAGCTGTGGACAAGCACTATAACTTCGAGTAAGCTACCTCGCATAATTAAGTTATATGCCAACATCGACATGCTCTGTACTACTAAGTACACTTATTAAATTAAATTAGCCTTTTGGCTCTATCCGGTGGATTAAGTCTATGTTCTGTACCTTTCGGAAAAAGATAAAAAATAAAAATAAAAATAAAAAGGTTCTATATGTTCTGCGCGCTACTCTAGTATTGGTCTTGTTTGGAGTTCAACAATCTATTTGAGTGGTTGTAATTCTCAGATTCATGATGAAGCTTAGCTATTCAAATCTCATGCGGACCAATGATGGCGATGATGGAGCTTGAAGGTCAATATCATGGGGTACTATAACTTCGAGTAAGCTACCTCGCATAATTAAGTTATATGCCAACATCGACAAGCTCTGTGTACTACTAAGTACACTTATTAAATTAGCCTTTTGGCTCTATCCGGTGGATGTAAGTCTATGTTCTGTACCTTTCGGAAAAAGATAAAAAATAAAAATAAAAATAAAAAGGTTCTATATGTTCTGTGCGCTACTCTAGTATTGGTCTTGTTTGGAGGTCAACAATCTATTTGAGTGGTTGTAATTCTCAGATTCATGATGAAGCTTAGCTACTCAAATCCCATGCGGACCAATGATGGCGATGATGGAGCTTGAAGGTCAATATCATGGGGTAGTATAGGTGATTGTATGCGTAGACTTGAATGTAAAGAAATACATTTGAATAGCTCAATTCGAATACGATCCATTTAATAATTATGTAAGGAATTTTTAACACTAACTTAATTTGTTTATTAAACAGTTAGTAATCTGTTTAATAACTTATTTACAAAAATAAAATATTATATTATTTAAATTATTAATAATACTTAATTAAACAACAAATAGTAGAAAAATTTAAGTTTAAATTCAAATAAATTAAAAAATAATCTATAATCTACAAAGAATAAAATATAAGACACAAGTTTAGATAGTTATTTTAGAATTTAAATAGAAATTTATTTATGACATGTACAGTTAAAAGGGTTATACGGATTGAATCCTTCAAACCAAACTTGATACGATTAACTAAATGAATTAATCGTGTTAACCCGTTTATGACCCAAACTCGTTTGAGGTCAACTCAAATCTGCTTAATTCGTGTTGTGTTCAAATCGTGTTGGCGAGTCATGTCAAACTTTGTCACGTAAGAATTTTCATAAAATGTAGAGACGTATGTAGATCTCATTATAGACGTGTATGAGCAAATAGTTGCATTTTGAAAGTAATGACTTACAAATGTCAATGGTATGACCTAGACAACCGTTTATGCTATGTTTTAAGGAAATACTGACAGTGATACAGTTTTTAGAAATAGGAGAGAGAGAGACAATGCCCACGTCTAACAATAAACATCGTCTATGAGCTAGTTCTACAAATTCAAATCCTCACTAGAGGTTAGGCACGAATCTCTGAAGGGCTCAGTGGGTGTGGACGCCCCCACTGAATTTTTTTATTATTACATTTTATACCCTTAAATTTATATTTTTTTGCATTTATACCTATAAAATTTTAAAATTACCCCTATTAAAATTATGAAAAAACCCTTCTATATAAATTTGCACCCCCTCATATAAATTCTTAGATCCGTCTCTGCTAGAGGTTGTTTATGGCCACATTAAAAAAAGAGATGTGGTTGTTATACAACATTTTAAAACTAGAGGAGATTTATTGTACTAAGGCCTAATAACAATAATAAAATGAGAAAGAATAACATGACAAAGATACTGAGCAATTTGAGATAGCCTCTAATTGGAATTAACTTTTTTTTGCTGGCTAGAACTTATCTTGTAATGACCTAGTCATTTTCCTTCCTTTTCTTTTTCTCAGATTTTCACGGAGATTTATTTTATTTTATTTTAAATTTTTTTTTTTTCGTATCTTTCTCTTTCTGAGTTCAGTTTCTCGTCAATTAGTGTTGTTTCGGGTGCGAATGATTTTCGAGACTCTTTTTTTGGGATTGACAACTTCCTTTGAGGACTGCGTCATTTTCACATTTTCATTTTTTCGACACTATTCACTTTTCGTCCTTTTCCCTATTTGTCCTTTCCCCTTTCGTCAATTTCTTGACATAACCTCACTTTTTGTATTTGGAATTGGTTTTTGACTTTACGTATCTTCATTCTAAGTGGTTTCCATGAAATATGTATCTTTACTTTTGCAGTAAAGTACTCTGGTTGCTTCCGGTGTCCATAAGGGTATGAATGCATAGTTTTTCAGATTCTTTTTCTTTTCTTGGGGTGTTTTTCATAAATATCTTTTGAAGATATTTTATTTTAAGAGTTTTTAAGAAAATATTTTTGGAAGATATTTTTATTTTGGGTCATTAGTGCAGTTTTCACTTTTTGGAGGGGCCATTATGCAATTAATGAAAGTTTATTACAAAAATACCTTATTTTGAGCCTGGATCCTCGTACAGAATTCATTTTCATTTTTCTTCGAGTCGTGTACTCTTAAGATCACCTTTTGGTCGTTTTCCCCCGGTTTTAGGGTTTCTGGCCCCAGTTGCTACTGAACTAATTCGGGGCATATCTCTCTTTCGGAACTCGGTTTTCGATGCCGTTTCTTCCGTTATTCATCTTTTCTCATTTTGGTTCTTTTTTGTTCATAGAGTTTTGTCATTTGAGCGTGTCTGCTCAACTTCCATTTTTCGGGACCTTGCGGGACCCTCTCGGGGCACCTTTAGGGTTTTGTTATAAATAAGGTTATAAAATTAAAAAGTCATCTCCCCTCTCTTCATGGACGTCCAGCAGCATCCATGGCAGTCCAAAGGGGGCTTCCACCTTTCTTCTCTCAAGTAAACCTTCTTCCCTTGTGTAAAAAGTCGTAGTGCTTTTCTGTTTAATGCTTGTCTTAATGAAGCGCATCTTTCCCCCTTATTAGAATCCATTTCTGACCACTTTTGAGTTCGGGTTTCAGGTTCGGATTTGGATTTTCATGGTACCTCAAAGGTTAAAATTGTTCCTCTCGTTGTCCCCGGCATAATCCCGCGGTATCGTCGGATTCGGAGCACTTTTCTTTTGGTGGGGATTTGAGATTTTTTATCTCAAATGGAGGTAGGGGGTGTTATAGGTTATTATTTTTGTTGTCTTGCATGCTATTGATGCTTATACAACTTGTATGCATACTTTTGTTCATAATTTAGAATTTAATTTAATTATTTTTTATGTTTAAGATTTAATTCTCATGATGATATTCAACTTAGAATTAAATTGTGGCATGTTAGAAAATTAGGTTTTGGTATGTTATTTAACATATATTAAATTGGGATTAATTGAATAAGAATTGCATTTTTTATTTAATAATTATCTTTTGTGAAAGTTTAATTCTTATGGTCGTACCTTACATGGAATTAACTTGTGATAGGCTATTAAATTAAGTCTTGGCATGCTCTTTAACATACTTTAATTTTGGAGCATTTGGATGAGTATGAAAATTTAGATATTTTAATTAAAAGAATTAATTAAAATCGATTTAAGGGTCCTATTTGCTTAATTGAGTTTTAAACTTGATATTTGAAATGACTATGACTTGTTTACTAGCATATATATTAATTTGGGACCATTTGAAGTTGCTTTAGAAGTTAAAGATTTAATTATCATGATTTAATTAAATTCTACTTTGTTGTTTCATTGGCCTAATTAAGATTTTGAATGGATGTATGTAATGACCATGCAATGTTATTTAACATGTGTTAATTAGGGGTCATTTGATTGAGATTTGAAATTTAAAAAAATTAATTAGTTTATTTATTTAATTTTCGTTTCTATAGCGTTAATGATTTAATCATGTGTTTGACATTGGTTATATGTTTAAATCATATTTTGGATTTGCATTAGATTCATGAGTTTATGTTTTCAATGTTGAAATATATTGCCATAGTGTGTAATGAATCGCATACTAAAGATTCGACATTTGTCATGCCATAATAGTTGTGGACTTAATGTATGTATTATATGTGTTTCCAAATTTGATTGTGCATGGTAATAGTTGATTATCTTGTATATACATGTTGATATATACGTTGTTGCATAACTTGTTGATTTTGGAAACTTGGGGATGTCGTTATTTAACTACGGCTAAGACATGGTTCTAGTACGGGGGATTGTCCCTCTATAGTCTAGTGCACACATAAGGAGGTTACCCATGGGCTAGTAACCCTAAAGTAACTATGGTGTCGGTCTGATCCGGCGTGATGTCCAAGTATCCACCTTGTTTGATTTCACTTTTCATTTCAAGTTAATAGCTAGATGATATCGTAACTTGTTGTTCCTTAATTGATTTCCTATTTTGAGTTTCAAGATGTTAATTTTGAGAAATCATGTTTTATGCGTTGTATTGGAAGTTCCAATGTTGGTTAAATTGCATCGATATTGTTATTTGTGTTTTGATGTTCAAATATAGCTTAGGAACAATCCTATAGATTCATTTAGAATATAGACGTTAGGTGGCATGATCCACTTTAGTTGTTTTTGTGTTTTAGATTTCAAGTTGAGGACTTTGAGAATCTATATCTTGTTACTTTGTATAACATGCTTCCATGTTGTTAAATTGCATGAATGATGTGATTTATGTTAGAAATGATCTAAGGTAGCTTAGGATGCCCCCTTAGTCTCATATTGACATAGATGTTAGGTGGCATGAGCCCCTTTGACTTGTTTCACCTTAAGGTGATAATTTTGTAAAATGTTAGGTCAATGCATGCTCATTTCCTACGAGCAGCTTTTTGTTTCTCATCCCAAAGTTACTGGGGATTTGTTTCAGGTATGAAGACTTGGTTCATGATACTCATCATACTTTGGATGACTTGTAGCATTTAAGTTTCTATTTCATGCAAATGTTAGCATGAAATGTCATTTTGTAGCCTTATATGTCTAAACTTGTATCTTTGATTCCATATATGTAATGTGTACATAATTGCATCTTTTACGATGTATTTGACTTATGTGAGATGAGGTCGGAGGCCAATGACATTTATATTACATCTTATGTAATTCTTGATTTCATGAAATGTTATGAAAATATTGAAAAATGACAAGTCATTGCTTCACCATGTTTGCATCGGGTGTCGGAATTCTATTTTTATTTTTCATAGGGTCTTATTAATCATGTTTGAAGTGTGGCCAAGGTCAAACGGTAATTTGAAATCATTTGTTAATTTTGGTTTTCAAATTTTCCATTTCTTGTTCATTTTTATCATTTTTGGCTGTCGGGGGGTCGGATTTGGAGTCGGGGTTTCTCGGGAGTCGTGGACCATTCCTGCCCACTTAAAATCATTTATTACACTTGCGTGCACATTTGTTTCAACCCAGAAATGCATTTAGGGTCAAATGTATACTTGGTGCAAAGTTACATATTTTGAGTTTTAAGCCCTTATTTATCTAGGGGCATTTTGGCCATTTTATAGTGTGTTTTTTTTTTTATTTTCTCCCACGATGCTAGGTAAAAAATTTGATTTCGGGAGGGGTTTCTTCTTCGTGTTTTTTTAGAAAAATTCGTTTGATAGCCCCTTTTTGATCTCAGATGTGGACAGTTACTGTAGCATTTTTTTGGGCCCTCTTGACCTTTTCTGATATAGGGGTATTTTAGGTATTTCACAGTGAGTTTTTTGAGTTTTCTTCTGCGCAATTGGGTAGAAAACTCAAATTTAGGGGAGGTTTCTTCTTTCTGTTTTTCCAGAAAAAGTCGTTTCAGACCTCATTTCGGTTCTCAGTTCTGGCTGAGC